TTAAATGGAGAGAGAGAGAGTCTGTCTTTGTGCTTCACGTGCAAGACTGCGTGGTTTTAGTCCGCAAGCGAACTATACCGACCGAGCGACCGCCACTTCTCGGCGAAGTTAGTGCCAACTTTAGGCCCCGCCATATCTCAAGCGGTTAGTCGCTGGCTTCCCACCGCGGCGGCCCGGGTTCGATCCCGGGGTCTGTTCAAGTGGGATTTGTGGTGGACAAAGTGGTGCTGGGGCATGTTTTCTCTGGGTACTTCGGTTTTCCCTGCCAATCTTCATTCCACCAATTGCTCCACAATCACCCTCACCTATCATCTGGGGCTGGTACAATAGGCCAGGAGTGGCTGCAGTACAAGGGACTTAGTTCCACCCCACTAGCAATAAAAAAACTAATAGTGCCAACTTTAGCAGATAGAGGGTGTCACGTGGTCAGCGCAACGAATCCTCACGGCCGTTAAGGTATGGCCTCAGGCCTACAAATTTGATAGAACACTTGTTCCTTGGCTTACACTTGGCTCTGAAGATGAAATTATGTTCCCCCGAAACGTCGGTCCACTAATAACAGGCTACATGACTTTATATCCAAAGAAGGTAAAACATATATAGTTACCGCTGTGGAAATCTCTTAAAACGCATAGTTCTTCATACAAAAATTCGTAGGTATATTTATGATCAGCGTCATATGCTCCGGACTGGAGACGGATTGGACTTATTGTTGAACTTAACTGGATGCATGGTGTTCATAATTAATTACAGAAATTTCACCGACATTCACTCTCTAAAAATAACTGCAGCACACTCCAAGCCTTACCAGTCTGCTGTGTCTTCAAGTACTCGTTGCTTGGTAGCGGTTTCTAACAGTGAAGATCCCCTTTATTGCTCCTGTACTCAACTGCTTGATCTTCTCACTGACCGTCTGATCCTTCATATATAACATCAGCACGGACCGCATAGAAAATTCCATTTCCAACAGTTCCTCTATTGTTGCCTCTGTATTCGTTGTTCGGGAACATATTTAACGAGCCGTTGCCTAGCAATGGCTATATTATCTGGCTCCACTATTCATATTTTCAAGTGTCATATCGCTATGTATATTCTCTTTCCTAAGATAATAGATTCATGTGGTAATAATCTGCAAAAGGCACAGGGAGCTGAAGGAAACGTTAAGAAATCTGGTTATACATAATATATGTTAGTCTTAATTCATAATGCAACGAAACTTATGATCGATTTCTACTTACATAAGTAATTTTTATATCGAAGTTAAAAGTCTGTTTAAGGCTCCACATTAATTATCTCTAAAATATCCCACAATCCAACTATTTATGACGCTAACTTTAGTAACCAAAAATTATCTTCGTTCATACTAGGTGCTGCGTAGTCAACTGAAACGTTACAGTTTGTCTTCTTGACCTACTATGACGACACAAGGACAACTACTCTCCTGCGGTCTGTACAATAATCCTGACACCTCCGTTTAACTTCTCTTCTTTTCGTGTTCAAATATGCAATTACTGGTATGTGATGGTCAACGTGCTACATGACGTCCATCGCTACGCAACGGCCGCAATGGGACCGCATACTTCAGCGACAACAAATATATGGAAACTGTTGAGTTCCCACAGCGACGAATTGAATATCAACAGACCGTTGGGTGGGAATATCCATAACAACGGGTTGTTCGTTGCGTAACAACGGATGAAACTGTATAATAGTGCTCTAAGTGAAAAACTGTACGAGTGTTTGTTCTCATCCGAAGACCCATGCAATTTATTCTTGTCGCGTCACACAACCAACACGTCACAATATTATACATGACTATGTAAAATAAAATGAACGGCTTAATTTATCTCTTAGTTTTGTCTTCTACAGCAAATAAATAATATATTCAACCAGAAATATGTAGAAGATTCCTGTATGATTTTGAAATTTCTAAGTTTCTATTCATCCGTAATTTGTATATAATTAATAATGGATTATAATAGGGGAGGTTTTATCCCCACTGAATTTTATTTCTAGTTTTGAAAATTACTTTGGGGAAATCTGAAGACTTCAAGGAAAGGCAGGAATTCAATTACCTGAATCATACACTTATATATCGTCATAATGTAATTTATTAAAGAGAATATAATTGCCGTGATCAATGGATCAGAAATTCCATCAACTGGTGTAATTATTTATTTAAAGAGGCATAATGCTGCAGCATGTATACCCGTTGCTACGTAATGACTCTGTAAACAACGCCATTGCTAGGCAACAGAGTGAACTAACTGAAAAGTGATGTTCTCTGTGATATCCGTGCGACAGCTGCGTGACGCAACAATGTTGGAAGCGGTGTTTTCTATGTGCTCCGCTCCGAAGCTATATTACCCCATCAACCGAGTAGTGCAGTTGTTATATAGGGATAGTTTAATGTTTGCGTTTAAACGCTCACTTTTGAATAGAGAGGATGTTACATGAGGGCTATTACCGCAAGAGTTCAGTTGAAAAAAAAATCTGGTCGTGGGCCTCAAGGGGCCTGACGCCAAGACGAACTGATTGGCGGTAAACCGCCAATCGTAAAGTAACTTTGACACTGCAGTTAGAAAACTACAGCGCGGTCTCAGCCCAATGGAGACGTGGCGTGAGCGCTAGAGTATAAAAATTAATGAAGATAAGGCAGTCGTCTGCTTATATCTCATCTTGCATTGAATGGAAGATATATTACATTTGTAAATTGTGTAAAATATTTCGGAGTAATCTTTGATAGGAGGGTTACATGGAGATTACACATAGAAATGATCGAAGCCAAGGCCTTCATAACATTTATAAGATTGCATTCCCTATTCAAAAGTGAGCGATTAAGCGCTACCATTAAGCTGACCGTCCACAAAGCTCCTATTAGATTCGTAATAACTTTTGCTAGTCCCTCCTGGGAGTTTGCGGCAGACACCCATCTAGTGAAATTGCAGCGCCTGCAAAACAAGGTTCTCCGCACCATTGGCAATTTTCCGAGGCACACACAGGTTCGCGATTTTCACGTGGCTTTCAAAATTCCATACGTATATGACTATATAACAAAATTATGCAGGCAACAAGCAGAAGTCATACAAAATCATGATAATGAAGATGTTCGCAATATTGGGGAATGAGAAGCCCGACATAGAAAGTATAAGAAGCGGTCAATCATACGACCGTTCAAGTGAGTAGACTGCCGTTGTAGCGGAAGCTACTAGAAATAGGGCATAATCTGCTGCACTGAGTCTCGACTGACAGAGGCCCTTTATATATTTAATACATTCATAACCATGTTTAACGTGTAAAATGTAAATATTCTTTACATTATGACAAATGACTTACTACTATAGACAATGACTCTGACAAAAGATAGACCCGTCCTCTAGTCAGAGAGGGCGCCCCACAATAACAAGACCTAAACTGTCAAACAGTAATAAATATCTGGTCATGAGCACCAGATGGGGCTCGACACCAAGACTTACTGACTGACTGACCGACCGTCAGTCGCAATGTGACTTTGACTTTTGTCTGAGTTCTCGGTAGGAACTAGCCATGGAAAGTTCGTCGACCTGTGAAAACTTAAAATATGATTTGAAGACTTCATGTGTGCTATAGTGCAGTGGGATTGTGAGTGTGTGATTTTGGGAGACTTTTGTAGTTCCTGTTTTATAAATCCGTGAAGACTAATGGAAATAGACCAAAAGAGATTAGTGTGGAGTGATTGTACATTGTGTATAGCAGCAATAGTGTAATAATTATTTGTAGTTACGGCCTTTAGGTTGTTAATAAATCCAGTTACCAATCAAAACTTGCGTCTTAATCACGTGACATGTTCTCATTTATTTTTTTACATTCAGCAACTAATGCATTGATTTCCAGTCTGTTGGGACTAGAAACATTACAGAGAAATTAGAAATTGTTTACATAATAAATAATGTTAAATTACGTTCTAATATGACGAATACCATCACCTAGCGATCCCAGTATGTTTCATATTACACAAGATATTTTTCTTTCTGCATTGCTACAATTTTTTTTTCGATGGCAGTGTAGACTATAACCCTGCAGTACAGTCAAGTTCAGAAGTGCACGCAAGCATATGAAATATACAGCGAACAAGCAGTTATGAACTAGACCGTACACCAACTATACCCTAGCTATTAAATAGTATTTTAGATGTTGTATTCACATGGAAATTTCCTCTTAGCATTTCCAGCGACAAAGTCATGTAAGCTTGATACCAAGAGCAGAAAATTGTGTTATAACATGTAAAAGTTGTTCCTGTGCATAACTAGTTAAGCACTGCGCCATGTGGGCGTATGGAGGAGTGGATGTGTAGATCCACATCATCATAGGGCAGATGATAATTATCCTCAGCTATTGCTGTGGATTTATACCCTTTCATAGGTGGAATTGTAGTTATTAAGAAGTATTTTGACAGTTTTTAATAATTATCGTAAATCTATTCGATATTGATTAATTTTAATCCTTTTGTTTATAGATTTCCGACATTACTGTAAAACTTTGGTACCTAGAACGTTGGTTACAAACTTACAAAACTGGTTATGAAATACACTAGATTTATCGACATATTGGCGTTAAGACAACTGAATTTCAATTCATTTCCACCAGCATGAGATATAGGAACAAAAAATATTTTGCCCCCCTTTTTTGAAACTATGTGAACGTCTTCTTTTCGCATGTTAACAGTTTTGTATTTCACAAGTTTTTTTATCTAATAATGTTATGAGTTAATGAACATAATCACGCCTCAGTTTTTTTTAATTCCGATCAGTTTTTCGAAATAAAAATTATTCTTTTTATCCCCAGTACATAGATCAAAACAGATATAATGTGAAGATGTCTATAAGCGAAGTATGGGTACTGCTTTAAGTTCAGAAGCTTTTTGTATAAAATACGCGGATAAAAATTAATATTTTCATACCCTTTTACCTGACGAATTGCAGATTTATATTAAGATACATTACTAAAAGGAAGTTACCGAACACACGATTTCTGAAAAAATCGTTTACGTCACACCATTACAGGGTTCCTAGGAAAGACTGTACCTGAAGAAAGTAAGTTAATTCGAGCATGTATTTACGATCTTCCTTTGAACATGCTGAATTTTATGCCACATTCGAAGAAAATGAAATGATAATAATAGTCGTTTGGATGTAACATCAGTCCCTGAAGGAAGTTACACGCGTATATGCCTTAGGTAGAATAACGGATTATAAACTTAAAGTGATATTGCTTTGTACGCTTGTTGGTTTACCATAAGAGCATTAGGGGCAGCTTATCATCAATGTAAATATATACATTTCTTTATTAAAATGCGTCACAACACAACAATAAAACAGTATTTTGTTACATGTTTCGGCTTTTTAGAAAACTATCATGAGGCAGATACACAATTAACGTGTTCTTAAGCTACTGAATTGCATACTATATAATTCAATCCACCTTCCTATCAGACCGGACATAATACACGTAAATAGAGGTACCCGTCAAATAATATCAAAACCGGATACTACTACAAGAATACCTACGGAACTCCAAGCAATTTAACCACTTCATACTTGTATACAATCAAGAAAACTATCGGCACATGTCCGCAAAAACACTATGATATAACATTACGATTGCAACAATCTATCTTAATAGGATATATTATATGTATAGTTCTTAATTATATTTTAATTATGTAACTTATCTCGTTTAAAATCTTTACCTTTTATTGTATTTCATGTTTATATTATTATATTGTGGTATATTATCGAAAATTCAACACTGCACTGAATTGTATGTATGCAATTCATTAGCTTAGGAATATATAAATTGTGTATTTGCCTAATGATGAGTTTCTAAAAAGCTGAAACATGTAACAAAACACTGTCAAACATGAACAGTTTTATTGCTGTGTTGTGACAGATTTTAATAAAGAAATCGATATATTTAACATAACAAGATGAATCCATTGAAAATAGATACGCTATATTAACCTCCTTAACATTTCAAAATAGTTCTTGTCAACACTTTGATATAGAGTTCCCTCAGTGCTTCAGTTTCCTGGAGCCAATGTTTCTTCTTTCTGTCGGCGCCTGGCTTGATGCTCCTCTGCGTACCCCACGGGCACATGATGGAAGCTTGAAGACTTTCTCGCATCGTCGTGAAATTTCCCAGAATGCATATCCAGAAGGACACCGGTACATATAACCTTCAAGTTTTCCTCTGGAATCTTTTTTGCATTTGTAGAAGTGGGAGCAGTCGTTCTTGTAAGGGTAGAACCCGGGTCCAGGGCACAGACGAGTACCGGTATTAACAAGTACCTGTACATAACATAAAGGCATTTCGTTACAATGCTATGGACGTAGAATATTGTCTAGAATACAAATTTAATAATTAAGACAGTGTATTATGATACAGATATTTCCATAAAGCTTTCGTAATATACGGTATTTAAGACGCGGTAAAATTGTGCGAACTTTTGTGATCACATTTAACACTACAGTATGCGCCAAAAAAGAAGTACTGAAACTCGCGCATCTCGAACGTGCATGTGCATTTGTCGACGGGACATAGCTCCAGCCGCACGTGTTCCCAAGTATAGTGAAAAGGAAGTTGTGTTGTGCAGTTATTGTTGGAAATGGGTCTGTCGACGGAGGAAAAATTGTAGACTTTGAGGGTCTCACAGGGGTAGCTGTGAAGAGTTCCACTTTCTGGGGTACAACGCCGCATAGTCCGTTGAATGTAAACGGACATTCCAAGCTAGAAACCAGCGTGTAGCAGGTAGCAAGCAGAGAACTTCTTCACGCTGCTACTTGCTTGGCAAACATGGTTGGTACATGTTTCTCCGACACGTCAGTTGAACAAGGTGCTATATCCCAGAAGATACAAATCTTCACATTAACTGTTAAGGACTGAGGTTATTTTATACATTTTTTCCTATTACGTGAGTTGAAAGAAAATGTTTGGTCACATTAATTTTTTTTTCAGTCATAGGTCTTACGCACTTACCGGCAAGGATTCACCTCTTCCATCAAAATTCCTGTTAGACCTCCCTCCTGCGATCATACCCTGGCAAGGAGCTGCTTTCTGAGGCGGTAGACACTGTATCTTCTCTTCATCGAACACTGTACCATTTACGCAAGCCAGAACAAGAATATTCATTTCATGTCCGGATACTGTGCATTGATAGAAGAGGTCACAATACTTTGGATGTCTCCTGAACCCAGTAGGACACACCACAACAATTTGCTCCTCATCTAGTGTGCCAACTGTTGGACATTGTCCTCCACTACCTCCCGGCGTAGACGTGCCTTCGGTTGTCGTTACTCCTGCCTCTCCATGAATTCCTGAAGACGATCCAGTTTCTGAAATTGTCGTAGTTTCATTGATACCGCCATTTGTTAATTCGGTCCCACTCGTGGTTTCAGAAGTGCCACTGGTCCCTTCTGTAGGGTTGGTTGTTTCTGGAGGAGTATATGGTCCTTCAGTAGGACCAACTGTGGTTGATGTCAAGTCGGTAGATCCAACATTGCCTGATGTTTCCTCATTTGTAGCTGTAGTTGCTTCTTCTGTTACTGTTATCCCAGTGCCAGTTGTTTCCTGATTCGTGGTGATTGTTGGGGCATCTGTTATAGTTGAAACAAAGCCTGAAGTGCCGACTGTTTCCTCATTCGTGGTTCCAGTTGGACCTTCTGTTGTAGTAGTGTTGTTTGATGTTTCTTGGCTTGTAATTGTTTCTGGTGGACCAGTTGGTGTTACTGTTGTAAGTTCACCTTCTATAGCCGAAATAGTTGTACTTGAGGTCTTTTCAGGTACTTCAACATCCGTTGCTGTTGTCCCGCTCGATGATTCGCTTGCAGTCGTGCCCACGGGTTTTGTGTGTTCTGTGGTTTGCTGTGTTGAACTTGGCTTTCCACTCGTTGCCTCAGGATACAGAGTGCAATTCCTGGGGTACACTACTTCAGGATAGTTACACACGGATACACTAGGATCAAAGATAGTCCCTGGTTCACATTGGAAGATATAATAAGTGTATCTACCACCCCAGTCTACACACCGATAAAAAAAATTGCAATAAATGGGATGAGGGAAGAATCCGGCTCTCGGACATGTAATGTTAACAGCTGATGGCTCCTGTGTTACTTCCTGGTTGCATGGAGCGGCTGCTGTACCAGATGAAATTTGACTGTCACTTACATTTGAACTTTCCTGACCATCTGGAGCTGCGGAGCCTCCTTGTCCGTTAATTGGAGCTGTGGGACTTCCCTGCCCATGTTCAGGAGATGTGGATACTGCAGATGACGTAGAACTCTCCTGCACTTCTCCAGAAGTTGTTAAATTACCCTGAACATTTGTTGGTGTTGAGCCTCCGTGTCCATTGCTAGTGTTCGTGGAACCACTCTGTACGCCTTCAGTCGTTGGTGAACTTTCTTGGTTTGTAGAACCTTGTTGTCCAATGTCCGTAGCTGTAGAACTGCTTTGCGCGTTTTCTGGTTTGCCAGTTATTCCTTGACCATCAGCAGTTGCAGCACTTTCTGGAGTCGATAGCCCTGGCTCTCCTACTGAGAAACTTGAATTGTTTTTATTTCCTTCCCCCGAAGGCTTTACATCTCCTTGATCGGGAGTTGTCACCGTAGACGAATTATTTTCGCTCCCCCCAGAAGGATTTATTTGTCCTGCAGATCCTTGGTCGACACCCCCAGGCTTACCTTCAGCGTTGCAATTTCTTTGGACGGCCCATTCATGATCACATACATTATTGGTTGGATCCCAGAGAGTACCTTCGCCGCAAATAAAGTCATATTTTGTAAAGGCACCCTTTCCATTGTCAACACATCGGTGAAACTTTTTGCAATCTCCAGGTGTTGGGAAGAAACCCTCTGACGTACAGGCATTGCCTGTACCTGCTGGTGACGTCGAAGTAGATGTTGTAGCAGTCGGTGTTTCCTGTGTCGCAGAAATTGTACTTCCTTGACCCTGATTACCAGATGTTTGTCCTGAGACTTGTTCGCCTGTAGATGTTCCAGAGGTTTGTTGGGTATTCTCTGACACTGATGTAGAAGTATTGCTAGATTGTTGGATGCCTTCATTTGCGTTTGTAGACTGCTGATCGAGTCCACTTGATGTAGATTGTTGATTACTTACACTTGACGTTGTTGATTGTTGATTAGTTCCGCTTGTTGTTGCCAGTTGATTTATTTCACTTGATGAAGACTGCGTGCCAGCTGTTGTGGAAGTCTGACTTCCACTTGCAGACGATATGGTTGACTGATGGTTACTATCGGAATTACTACTTGCAGATGTGGAACTGCTACTGCTTGTTGATGTTGATGAAGAGGAGGAAGAGTTAGACGATGAAGAAGAAGATGTTGATGTAGTACTGCTACTGCTGCTACTGGTTGATAACTGAGACTGAGTAGTAGCAGTGATGCTTGATGATGATGATGATGATGATGATGACGACGACGACGATGACGTACTAGTAGAGGAGGAGGATGAAGATATTCCTCCAGACGAAGTAGTTGACTTCTGTATTTCCACTGAGCTTTGTGTTGAAGTTTGAGAAATTTTATTCTCCTCAGAAACACCTCCTGTTCTGCAATCGGCCCTTTGAACTGCCCAGTAGTGATTGCAAGTGTTATTTTCTGGATCCCAGACGGTACCTTCGCCACATTCAAAATCATACTTCCAATAACCACCGTCTCCATTATCGACACACCTGTAGAATTTCTTGCAATTGCCACTAACCTGAAAGAACCCTTCTTTTGAACATCTGTCTTTAGAGGAAGATGATGATGTGCATCCCGATGTGCTTTGTGTCGACGATGTTGCTATTTCTGCTGTAGTCTCAGAAGATTGTTCTGTGCTGCTTCCAATTGTAGTTGTTATAAGCTGGTTGTTATAAGACCCGTCTGTAGACGGGCGTTGTGACGTAGTCAGTTGTTGTCCACTCAAAACTTGCTCATCATGGCCACTTTGTGGTTCTTTCGGAGGTTCATTTTGTCCAGAGTTTGTATCGTTACATTTTGATCCTGTGTTACCTTGTCCTGGCGAGCCACTACCTTCCAGGGTACATCCTTGTCCTGACACACCTTCTTGTCCCAGAGAACCTCCTTGTCCTGACAAACCTCCTTGTCCTGACACACCTTGTCCCAGAGAACCTCCTTGTCCTGACACACCTTCTTGTCCCAGAGAACCTCCTTGTCCTGACACACCTTCTTGTCCCAGAGAACCTCCTTGTCCTGACACACTCCCTGGTCCTGAACCGGTTCCAGATTGTGCCCCATCCCCTGCACCTATTTTTCCACAGTTGGTTCTCCTCACAGCCCAATCGTAGTTGCATACGTAGTTGTCCGGATCCCATACCGTTCCTTGTCCACATGTAAAGTCGTATTTTGTGTATCCTTTCTTGTCGTTAGGAACACATCGATAGAACTTCCTGCAGTCCCCAGGAGTTGAGTAGAAGCCGTCATTGGTACATGCTACATCAGCTGAATTCTGACTTCCAGTTACCGGTATCGGCGTAGAAGGAGCCGAAGATGTTGCTGATGCCGTTTCATGTCTTACGAAAGATTTCAGCTCGTTACGTATACTCCACAAATTTGTATTCGATGATACAGTTCCTGAGCTTGAAATATGACTTGGTGGACTTAACGCTCCTCTTTGGGGAGAACGAACATTGTCCACTTCATTATTAATCTCATTTTGAGTTCTCAGGGGCGCTCGCGAAATATCTCTGTTCCCTCCACACTCAATTCTTGTCGTCTCCTGAGGATGGTTACAGATCGAGTAAACAGGATCAAACACCGTGTCTTGTCCGCAGTGGAATTCAAAAGCTGCGAGTTTGGGTCTGCTTCCTCCGCTTCCCGTTCGTAGCAGATGGTTACTGGCGCCCACGTCCACACATCGGTAGAAAGTCTGGCAGTTATAGGAAGATGCGTGAAACCCTTCGGAAGGGCAATTGAAATACGGAGCTTTCCTTCCTTGACGTCTGGAAGTTGATTGAACTCTGGTCTCTGCGTCTTCCTCTCCTGAAATGTGTGATAGTAGTAGTAGTAGTAGTAGTAGTAGTAGTAGTAGTAGTAATAATAATAATAATAATAAAAATTAAATTCGTTATTTATTTACGTGCCGAGCTCAACAGCCAGTGGCCAAATGTTATGTTTTTGGACATCATCCATCGTATTGTCTATATCTAAAAACCATCCTGTTTATTTTTCAAAACACAGGGTTTTGAGACTGGATTCTGTCCGGAGATTGAGACCAGCTCTATCGATTTGGCCCAACTGAGTAGGTTTTACCTGAAGACGGAGACAGAATCCAGTCTCCGAAACATTATTTTTTAGATAGAGACAAGACGACGGATAATGTCCAAAAACGTATTATTTGTACCATTGTAACACACTTTTAAGAGTCAGTGGCCAAATACAGGGGCAACACGAATACAAACAACAGCAACAATAAGAAAATACAGGACAAAACAAACAAAAGGCAAAGAAGAACTCTCAGTTAAGGATGTTTATATTTAAGCCTGATTTTTATAAAGATATCTGTAGATTTACAAACTGCATTTACAGCATGAAAACTTAAACAGTTCCGTCTAGTGTGGCTGGTGAAGATTTTTCTTATTTCAATTATTTATGCCCTTACATGTTTCGGCCTTCAGAGACCATCATCAGAGGGACACCTTTACGTCAGTAGAGTTAGAAGCCACTATTACAATACACGTTCTAAAAGTTTTATTTTATTGTTAGTGGGGTGGGACTAAGTCCCTTGGACTGCTGCCAATTCTGGCCTATTGTACCAGCCCCAGATGATAGGTGAGGGTGATTGTGGAGCAATTGGTGGAATGAAGATTGGCAGGGGAAACCGAAGTACTCGGAGAAAGCTGCCCCAGCGCCACTTTGTCCACCACAAATCCCACTTGGCCAGACCCGGGATCGAACCCGGGCCGCCGCGGTGGAAATCCAGCGGCTTACCGCTTGAGCTATGGCGCGGCCCTGTTATTTATCTTAATTCCATTATATATTCAGAACAAGAAAGCACGAATATACTGTAATTGTTGTGAAAATCAAGTTCTATTTTGATCAAGTTTATGGAGTTTAATCCCTCACAAGCATCTGCTAGTTTCCGACTGATCAGTAAGTCCGCAGAGGTTCATTGCTGTTTAGATTCTGGTTCTGTGACCCGTGACAGCCGTAGGCTGCTCCCCTCTTCAGTGTGAGAATGTTCGCACTGAGGCATCAGTTGGTTTATATAAGCAGGCTGATTGAGGTTTGTCGCCTAAGGGAGGGGGAGAGAAGATACAGACAGGCCCAGGCCAATAGGAAGAGTGAACCGAAAGACGGCCATTTTCTTGTTTGCAGTATTATGGTTACACGAAGGGAAAAAATGCGAGAAAAAATATCCCTTTCAAGGCCTCTGTTGTTAGGAAGAAATAAATGAGAAGATAGCCCTTATTTTCTACTGTCTGAGTAGGGGGAGGGTCTTCTAAGGAGGCGGTGCCCTGTTTGTTAATAATGTTCTCAACCCTCCAATTCACATTAATTATGTAATTTGCATAGAATAAGACTAGAAATATTTTAATGGAAGGTTTCGTGATTATGTGAACAGACTCAATAAAAATTATATGCAAAATATTCAAATATATTCATCGAAGGTATCTGATGTTACATATATTCAACTCTATAGATAATGCCTTATACACGGTCTCTGAAATGTGCAAAGAAGCGCCGTGGAAATTCCTGACCGTCGGTACAAGTTCGAAGTGCTGCTAGATGTAACAGCCAATCTCTTGTTAATTAAATCGGCTAGCAGCAGCATAAATTCCGGGCTTAAAATATGCAGTACGGTGCTTAAATTTAAAGTTATCGTATATTTTCAAGTACTGGGTGCACAAGAAACATTCTATGATTATATATTTGGTATTTTGTATAATAAAATTTACATTATAAAAAAAACTTAACGAAATGGAACAACTTTTTAGTGTAACAGCATCTGTGTTATGTTAATGTACGATAATTATGTAACTTTTAGATCTACTAACCTACTAGCCGTACTTGTATATTTACATGATGAGGGCTTTGATGAAAGGGTCTGCTTTTTCGTAAATGGAGAAAAGCTGATTTCCATTTCTGATACAAAAATTAAAACAATTTTAATTCTGTTAACCTGATTTTTTTTATTTCTAATGGGGTGGGACTAAGTCCCTTGTACTGCGGCCACTTCTGGCCTATTGTACCAGCCCCAGATGATAGGTGAGGGTGATTGGGGAGCAATTGTTGGAATGAAGATTGGCAGGGGAAACCGAAGTACTCGGAGAAAACCTGCCCCAGCGCCACTTTGTCCACCACAAATCCCACTAGGGTCGCCGCGGTGGGAATCCAGCGACTAACCGCTTGAGCTATGACGCGATGATCGCTAAATTACTTCTAGTAGAAAGACTACACCTTTCCAAGTGCGCTGACACGCTAGCTAATGTTCTGATTTTGG